CTTTTTCCTTCTTTTCTACTTCTTTTTCTATATTTCTTTTTCACCTTTTTTATTACTTTTCTCCATTTCTCTGTAACTCAGTCTGTATTGTATTTACTCTGTGGAAAAACGTAATAAAAATTATAAAATACAATAAAATTCACAGTACAATAAAGCAGGATCCACCGCTTCAAGGTCAATACATTGTGACTCGACCTCCTCATTTTTTATTAGAATGTTGACAGCGAGGGAAGTAAAACAGGGAAGAAAAATTCTGAATCCTGACTGCACTCAGATCTGCCCCAGGCAGTATTTGTGGAGAGGATTGGAGAAGTAGCTCCCTGAAACAGATTGAGATGAGGAGTGTGTTTAAGTCACCAAGAAGCCAGACACAGCTCAGTCACACCCAGACAACTTCTCCAACATTACGTGCTTTGACACTTCCTTCTTTAAAAGCAAGATTTTGAGAAAGGGAGGCCTCTGAACCGAGTCAGGAGAAGATGCTCAAGGGGTAGTTAAACTGCCTGAAAAATTCGCCTTTTGACTTAAGCCCAAGAGGGTCCTCCTCCCTCCAGTGAAGTCCACTTTGCATCCCCTGTTTTCAGCATGGATGTCCATGGGGCAGGGGAAGAGACACAGTGTGCACGATCATACAACAACCATAGAACTGTAAAGTTGGAAGGGATCAAAAGAACATTTAGTTCAGCTCTCTGTGATGTTATCATGCATAGTATATGACTCAGTTTAGCACCTAATTTTCATTTGCACAATGATATAATGACACGTGGGACATCATTTTGATGTCATTGTGGCTTCTACTGGGCACCTGCATATCTTAGGATACCCTGTTCTCGTCTTGGGCCCTATAGGTGAATACCTGAATGATGAAGGGCAGATCATCATCGATGAAGAAGAATTCCTCCTGATCATGAAGCTGAAGGATCTGAAGAAGCAGTACCGGGAAGATTACAACGAGTTGCGAGATCTCCGCTCTGAGGTCCAGTACTGCCAAACCCTGGTAGATCAGTGTCGCAATAGGCTGCTCACAGGTATGGCTGGGTGAGGCTGGCCCTGACATGGGAGGCTTCACATGACCTGGGGGAGCGTGAACATGGCATGCGATGAACCCACTTGAGGGTGGTTGGTTGCAGGAAGGACAGGAAATCTGATAGTCTGAATTCAGATTGTCCCAAGTCCAAAATAGAACCCCAGCTTCTGAACTCCAGGCATTGGATTCAGGTCTACTTTGATGATACAGGTAGTCCCCAGGTTAAGAATGCCCGGTTTAAGAACAACCCATAGTTAAGAACAGAGCCTATTGCAGCAAAATTCAAGTTAAATACACGATGATTCAAGTTAATTACAATACTACTTATACAGGATTATACAATAATACTGTTCCAGCTTACATACAAATTCGACTTAAGGACAGATCTTGGGGACAGAACTCGTTCTTAAACTGGGGACTACCTCTACCACACCCCAAAATATTGAATGACTTCTCTGAGCTGCTTTATATAAAGAGCACCGCTCAGCCCATCTGTGTGTGACTCTGATTCTGTCTTATCTCCCACCCTCCCCTCAGAGTTTGACATCTGGTATAATGAGTCATTCCTGATCCCAGAAGAGGTCAAGGAAGCCCTGAGGCCTGGAGGATCCATCAGGCTTGGCATGATTCCAATAAACAGAGTCCTGACTCTGGTAAGTCAGGTTGCCTTCCCACGGTTGCCCCAGAAGGAGCTGATCAGTGATTGGCATCTTGGAGCAGCTCTGCCCCTGCAAAGTGGTTACACCCAGGAATTTGCTGGCATTCCCCGTGGCTGCTGGAGGGAAAAAGAGAAAAATTGTGGGGTTCCTTGGAGTGGAGAGAGAGAAGGATTTTCAGCGGAGAGTGCTCCTTATTTCTTGTTTTTTCCTACCGCAGAGACTTCAAGCGTTGTCTGGCAGGGCTTTCTAATCTCCTGAACTATGCTTGTTTCCCTTTTGGGAGACTGGTTTTGGGATGCCCTTGTGCATGTGTGAACAATTGCGCACCCATGGATTGGGTTCCCATAATCTCCTAAATCCTTGCTCATGACTGGGTTCCTAGAACTCCTTAAGCTAAGCCACGGCCCCCAAAGCCTTCCCACATTCTGGCTTCCTGTAAGGTATGGGTATCGCCAGTCGGGAGCCTATTTTGCCAGGTCCTAGCTGAGAAGCAACTGACATTTTCCATACAGAACCATTTCCTCTTTTTTTTTAACATTATTTATGTATTATATTTATGTGTGGTTTCCTCTGCCAGAGCATCTCAAAGCTGTTTACAGTTAAAAACAACAGTAAAATGCTGAATAAATACACAAACAATACATTAAGACAGTGTTTCTTAACCTTGGCCACTTTAAGATGTGTGGACTTCAGTTTCCAGAATTCTGGGAGTTGAAGTCCACACATCTTAAAGTGGCCAAAGTTGAGAGATGTTGCATTAGGACAATATTCAATTTAAAAGAAGTATTCATTAAAATGAGAAGGGGGACATTTTCCCACATTCATACTGGAAAGGCCTCAATTCACATAAGTGCCTGCTTTCAAGCCCTTTTTAAGAGACAAGACAGAGATTTCTGTGTACCCAGATGTTTCTGTTCATCCCAATTTAGGTTTACGAGGAGAGTCCATAAAAGGAAATGTCTTCCTCCCAACTAAAGTGAAACATCTGCAGCTCTAGTGAAACAGCCTTGATTTAGGTGGGCTACAATGAAGCTGTTTGAGGTTGGGCTCCTGCACTTTTGGGGCTACGCTGTGCATTAGTGCGGTTGCCCAACCCCAACCAAGCCCTCGCACGATTTGCACACTGCAAGCTGAAGTGGGCCCCTAATGTCTGGCATTTTGCTCCTAGGAATTCCCTGCCTTCTTCAGCCTGTCCTTCTCTCCTCCTAACAGGATGAAGACGAACAAGAGAGATTTGACCGAATGCAACAGGAAGTGTTGCCTTTTTGCCCAGCTTCTGTTTCCTTCTATAATGCCAAGGCAAAGGTGGACCGTAAGGTAAATCCCACAGACCTTTATTGGTTGCTTCAGGGGGCCAAGGCTGCTTGCAAGCTTCCAAGTGGCCCCCAGCTGGCCCCACATTCGAAGGGCACTAGATGATATGGGCCCTGCATCTAAGCTGTGAAGCATCTTGAGCCCTGGGTGGCTTTTTGGGATCTGTTGCAAGCACACCTGGGTCTCCAGGAAGAGGAAGGACCGATGTATCGGGGATTGTGCTGATGTTACAGGAGTGTCAAAAATGAACTTGTAACAAGAAACTTAAGTCTGTGCAAGCATCTAGATTTTGCAGAAGCTTCCATCAGGCCAAAATCTGTTTTGGGGATGGTTGCAAGGGGGAGTGGATGCAAATACGAATTCTGCCAAATGCAGCTTTGCAAATAAATGAATAAGGAAGACCTCTATTTTATATGCAGAAATAAGCCATTCTGAGATCTAAAACAGATACAAGGGAGCTTATTTTGCACTTGGAATATGTGATTGGATTATCAATTTTGCCTGAGGAAGTGATAATTTTTAACAGATGCAAGTGGCAACCCAGCAACGCAGCTTGCTAGATACTGAACGAGAACTTGTGTCCAAGTTATCGAGCTGATAATTCCTAAAATCATTAAGATTTAACAAAGGTGTGGCACAGTAAGAGCCCAGGTTTTGTTGAAAATGACTAGTTATTCCCAAAAGACAGGTTATTTTCTGCAGCAGCAAAGATGATGGAAGAGTTCTGCAAAGCCCTGATGGTTTTGCCCCATTGCAGAAGAACTACCTTTAAAAGATAGGTCAAGCTAAGGAATGGGGAGAGATCAAGGCTGAAACATAATACAGGAGAAAAAAGTGCTGAAGGATTTACCAGAAACTACTCCTGAATTCTAAGCTTTCATTAAACCCACACATTGGAGAGCTTTTCCCCTTTCTTGTTTGAGGACTAGAGGCTTAAGTTCATTTTAACTCAGCACTAAAGACAACTAAGGGGGGGTGACCCATGAGCCACACCTGTCCCCCCTGAGCATCTGTAGCTGTACAGCACCCCTAAAATGGCTAACTGATCCTTTCTGTGGAGGTGGCTGCAGCGAAGCATGCTGGAATAGGAATGTAGAAATAACGGTCCTTTCTCCTTTCTGGTCTGAAAGCACAAATACTCTCGAGCCATGACCGCCTTTGAGCAAATGAGGAAGAAGCCCGGATCGGTCCAAGCTGCAGTGAAAAACAAACCCCCGTCTGTCTTGGACATCGTGTAGCAGAGCTGGGATGATTCCTCTCTCCTTTCTTACAAGAGGGGTGGAAGAGACACAGCTTGCACGTCACAGCTTTTTTCTTCTTTTTTCTGTAAATTTTCAGGATTAACAGTATAATAAATCCGAGGATTTCTAAGTATGACTGACATTAAGAAACACACCTGGCTTTACCCAGTAGTATTAACGGTGAGGATTTAGCCATGATATAACAGCGATGATATGACGTAGTAGAACATAAAGGACTAAAATTGGAGGAGGAAAGTTTTTCTGCTCATGAGTTCAGCTGAGGAAAGAAAAGGCTGAGCAGAAGAGAGGAGGAGGAAAAGATGCCAAGCTGCCTCTGCTGTCTTCACAAGAAGGTAAAGCAAATCGTTTTGTTGCTTTATCATTTTTGATGCTGCTGTAAGGACTGCAAGAAATCCAGGACTGTTGATGAGAAAGGATTGGTAGGAGGCAGACATTTAATGCAAAGCCCACCACCAACCAGAGAAGGAGTGCTGGGGAGGGAAGACCCGAACTTGCTATACCGAGCAAATCAGCCCCACAGAATCTCTTCTCTGAAAAACTGGGGTGGGGCTCCTTGCCCAGGGACATCCGGGGGAGGAGTGGAATAGTCAAACTGGCAGCTGAGACTGTGTGATCAAATCCTTGCCCCCTTTTTTCATGCATTGCATGCATGGGGGATATAAAAAAGGGGTGATTTGATCACATGGTTGTGGCTGCCATCTTTGCATCCCCCTCCCTTCATGAATGCCCCATTCCTGCTTCCCCTGTCTAGTGCTGAGGCTGAGCACATTTACCACTGGGAGAGGGTAAGTGCCAATTTCATTGTAATATTTCTCCACTTTATAAATAATACATTGATAAAGAATGCATGTTACACGCATGTGTGTATGTATGTCTCTTAATGGGGCTACTTCTGTAAGTCTTCATCTTTTTCCCCAGTTGCTGTGTGTGGCAAAGGCCTTCTCGAGAGGACCCCCCAAATGTCAGTTTTTGATGGGGGAATAACATTCCAAAGCAGGGCTATAATTAAGAACTCAGGTGTTCAAAATTGTGATAGTTCATGTTTGGCCATTATGATCTGGCCACACTCTAATTTAGCAGAGCTGTTGTTAATGATGCCTTCTGGGGGAGGACAGAGGTCTTCCTTTGGACAAACGTGGCCATCAACCAGTCTTCCCATTTGTTCTGATAGCCCTCAGCAAGGCTGAGGAACTTGTGGGGCTCCTGCTCTTGCTGGGCTACAATTGCCCTCATCCCTGGCCAGTGGCTAAGCCGGGTGGGGTGGATCAGATGAGAGCGGAGCCCAGGGAGTCCTTTGTGCTGATAGGGAAATGAAGGACATGTAGAGCCATTGCTATTAACTGTGAACCCAACTATTGGAAGGTGAGAAATGCTCTTCAAGAACATTCATGAGAACTTCAGCCCTAATCTATGAGGCACCAACTCTCTAAGGCTGTGAGTATCAGCTCAGGAAGCTGTTCTAAGATAGTAAAGTGGGCCAGCCACTTGCTGCCCAGTCTCATTGTCACAGATACTTCACTTAGCTTTTCTTACCTGTGTTTAGATATTGCATTAACTTCCTGCACAAGTCCCACCAGTCGCTCACTCCTGCCCTCCAATGTCCTGCCAAATCATCTTCATGATAGTTTTCCCCCAGGAGTAGATGCAAGCATTCCTGGAGTAAGATCCGCCTTTCTTTCAAAGGAAAGCTGCACGAGGTCCCAACCTCCCGGATAGCTTCTTCTGTTCCCAAGACTTTCCTGAAAAAGCCCAAATAGGGAACCCGTTCATCATTCACACGTCCAAATGCATTCTCCCAAGAGAATCATTTCATTGTTCCCAAGAAGGCAACTGTATATTGGAAGAGTGTCCAAATGCAGCTGAAGCTCGCTCTCTCTCCCTCTGCATGTATGTCGGGGGGGGGGGGGGGGCAAGAGTCCCACGGGATGCTCCAGCAAAGGTTCCAGATCCAGCTGTAACCTTCACAACAGGGCAGAGTTGTCTTCTTCACTGGCTCCAGCACCACTGCAGGAAGGCTCTGCTTTGGCATGTGGTCTGTGCCTGTTTTACTCCTTGAAGGGAGTCAGCGGAGCTACTGTGCTTAGCACAAACCGTCAAGAGGTGCCTGGGAAGGTCTAAGCGACTGAGACACCCCCTCTTTTTTTTTTTTTTTACATTTCTGGGGACTAGATGGCTTAAGGAACAAAATAGGAGTCTTGAGAAGCTTAAGCTGCACATTTCACCCCTTAAAACCCCTTCCACATAAATTGTAGTTGAAGTTCTTTTATTGCGGTTTTATGTAAACCCCAACCTTTCTGAATAAATTTGACTTTTTCAGCTTTCCTATTCGTTCTTCAAAGGACAACTGATTTTTACATTTCCATGAAAGAAATAGGAGCTATTCAGTGGGAGGAGAGAGAACATTTGATTTCTCAGCTATGTGCTCATGTTCAGTTCCTAAATTCTTGTTTACAAGATTGCCTGGAGACAAAACCTCTGCCATGCCATTCATGCTTTGCTTTGTTAGCCTTATCAACAGAAACATCATTTCCCACACTTCAAAGAGAGAGAAAAACCCGAACTTCCTGTAAACCCAACAGAAGTCTTAAATTCAGTTGAGTGACACTAGAGATTAAGGATGTAAATAAGCCTGGAAAGAATGCAGAGCGACAGAAAACAGGGCAAAAGATAAAAGATAAAAACCTGAAAGAACGGAGTGGGTTCAGCTTAGTTAAAAGAAAGTAAAGAGAGATGGGGTGGGCCAGTTTTAAAAAGACCTCGGAGAAGAGTTAAGGCAACCTGTACACAGAACATGACAGAAGTAAAATGTTTAACTAGGACAGAGACATTCAGGCCAAAAGTGAGGATGACCAAGCTGCCATGGGAAGTTGCAGCATCTGAAGTCCACGGAAATTCCAGGGTAGGGCAGACATTTGTCTGGAATAATTCAGGTACCCCTTGATGGGGAGATGGCGCGAGATCCACCTCTCCCAAGCTGGTGTCCTCCAAGGAAACTGAAACTCTCCACCCCTGCAATTTGCAGAGTCAAATGGGTGCTGGTTTAGGGAGACTACTTATTTATTTATTTAAAACATTCACACGGCCGCCCATCTTAAACCAAATTCTGAGCAGCAGACAACCAAAATATAAGAATATATACAGCCAATAAAAACAAAACAACAATAAAAACAGAAACAGAAAAACCTGGCACCACACCAGACATCTCGAAGGAGCCCACAACACTCTCCTGCCATTCCAATCTCATCCTATCCCAGCACTTGGGGGAAAGCTTCAGTGCTTTTTTCAGGAAGGTGACATCCTCTCTCTGGCTTTTTCTGCTTGGAAAGGCTCACCAAGATGGCATGGAAGCACCCTAAGTCCCTGCTTTTGCGCTACAGCCCCTGCCAGCCTCTTGCACACACTTTCAGAGATGCCAGCTCACCTCCGCCTTCCTCCCAGGAAAACACTTTAAGATGGTAATGGGTCAGATCACCCACCCAAAAGCTGGGTTATGACTTGCTAATGCTCTCTCATTTTAAACAAGCCTTAATCTCCCCGTAAATCCAGGGTGTTCCCGGATTCCCATACTTACCATCCCAACCCAGCCTGGCAAATGTTTCAGGATAATGGGAAGTGTAGTCCAGTATCTGAAAGGTCAGAGGTTCTCCACCCAGTTGAGAAGGAACATTCAAGAGAAGCAAGCCATATAGAATGCCCTTCTGGTTCCAGCTTTCTCTTCTAAATTTGTAAAATTCAAATGTATTCACTTGTGGAGGCACAAAAGTCACAGCCAGAAATTGCAGTGCTGAAGAGGAGGATGAAGAGTTATCAAGATTGACAGGACCTGACCAAGTGAGTACTCCTCTCAGATGGTTCCTCACCTGGAGAGAAGCATGAAGAAGACTGTGACCTGAAAATTGCTGGACTCCAGAGGTGGTGATGGAGTTGTCCTCTGCATCCTGCTGTGGCTGGAATTTGGAGTTTGGGTGGGGAAAACTCTGGAGGAGAACTTGCCTGGGCTCCAGAGCTCTCCAGGTTGAACTAACTTGCATCTCAAGGAAAACAACAGGGGTAAAAGAAGGATCCCCAGAGGCTGTTAAAAGGGACAGGACAGGACCATGACCTACTTCTCAGCATTAGGGAGACACCTTGTGGTGACACTAACTGCAATATGATCACAAAGAACTAGAGCAGGGTTTCTCAACTTTGGCAACTTTAAGATGTGTGGACTTCAGCACCAGAATTCCCCAGCCAGCATGAAGTCCACACATCTTAAAGCTGCCAAGGTTGAGAAACTCTGATCTAGAGGATCAATTTAAGTCCATTCCAGAGGTTTAGAATGGTCAGGATTCCTCGGGATACCGGAATGCTGTTTGCAGAAGAATTTACTTCCCCACTTTCTGGTTGTGTCCTCTTGGAAGAGAAGTTTCAAACCAGAAACTCGGCTCTGGTGGGGACAAAGTTTCTCCTCCAAGTAAAGAGTTCTCCCCAGCTCCTGTGAAAAAGCACCATTCCACAGGAACAGTCCTTAAGTTCCAGCTCACTCTGCAGAGTTTCCATTGTCCAGCTGTGCAAATTCGACTCTGAAGACTCCCTGTGGTAACTTACGATGTGACGTCAAACCTAAATCACAAAGTAAAGCAGGACAATTTTTATTTCTCACATGGCCATCAGTGCTTTGGGCAATATTTCCTAGAGCAATGCCGTGTTTTGGATTTGCCAAAAGGTTCTTTGGAGCACCTGGGGATGCAAATGTAGCTTGTCTGTGACTCTCTAAAGCAGCTGTGGCCACCCGGTCCTGAGAAAAGATGCAGCTTAGATGGCACTCTGCAGACTTGAAAGGCTGACATACCATTGTTTTGTGGATCATCCAAAGTCCTCCCCCCCCCCGGAATTGCCTGTTTTGCTGTGGACTTTTTGTGACCAGGCTAGGTAGCCTCATCAGTGCAGAGAAGAATGGAGTCTGTTCATGTACAGTCACTTGCCAGGCCAGTCTT